ATTCGAATCGTTTTCACCGTCCACACGTATCCGTTTTCGTAAAATTTGCGGATACGGACACAAAAATTTGCGGACACGTGTGGACGGGGCCTAAGAACATAAAAGGAGTTTGGACTGAATTATAAATTACCTGATAGTCCACCACAAATTTAGGATACTTATTAAACACAGGATACTGTCCTTTGGTCAGCGGTGCAAACGGCTCGAGCATTCTCTTAGGGTGGATATCCGCTGGCGTGTTTTCTTGCAGGCGATAAGCTTCACGGATGACAGCATTGATGTCGAGTGCGTTACGATTATGAAAGAAGTACTAGGGTAATGAAAGATAAAGAAGGTATTAGAATCCACATATTTGGAGACATCAAGACAAATCGTCTTGGTTTTACGAGGGTAACGTTTATAGCCAGTTGCTAACAAACCTGTGGTCCGTTAGGCTTCACGAATTTGCAACGTCCCCTCTGATTGGTTAGGTTTAGGGGCGGGTTTGGGGAAAGGTCATTGTTTTCTATTGTTCTACACATGTGTGCCCTCCAATAGGATCACATCTTGCAAATTCGTGAAGGACGACCCTCGAATTGGGATGTCAAAGACAATTTTTGTGTAGGGAGAAATATCTGAGATCCCGGTAAAAAACACTCAAAGCACATTAGAGAACCAATGACCTTAGTATTGAGAGTCATCGCAATGCACTCGTGCTTACTAATGAATTTCGTTTGAAAAATTCAATGAGAATTTACCTCAAAGTCTTCCTTCTCGGTACACTGCAGCAAGGCCTTCCGCGATGATGTGACGTAAGCGACAACGACCATTAAAAGAAATGATGGATGGTTAGAGAAGACATTATCCCACACGCGTAACCATTCCTCCTTGGTCAGCACCTCGGACATCAATGTCTGGAGTAAAGGCCATGCGTACATCTAGAAAAAATGGACAATGAGTTCACGAACACAACTGACATCCCACACGTGTAAACCCTTGTCAATAATAAGAAAGTTAAACAGTAATAACATCCAGAAAAGATCACATGCTAATGTAATAGCGCAGCGCAACCGTGACGTCATAAAAACGAAGACAAAGGCGAAATTCGGACAAACAAACTTAAAAGTTTACTTTCAGCAGATAATTTTCACAGCCGATCGCAGTTGATCTTAGTTTACATGGGTTATTATTGTAACTTTAAGTAAAAATAATAAAATCGGTTCGTATAATCCTCGTAGCAGTTAAAGAGAATGCAATGTTTGTCCGAATCTTTAAGCTATTTTTAGAATCAGTGCGCTGCGCTATTGGAATGAAAGGACGACTTCTGACTCCAAGAATAGATCCAAGTGGACCCTTATTCTCAAAAGTATCGTGTACGCGAGGCTAACATGTAAATGCAAAAGAAATCACACTTTATCTCTGGAATTTGTGGCATTTCATGTTCCTCTAATGCCTCGCATTCAAGACAATTTTAAGAAGGGTCCACTGAGGACCACATGTTTTTAATTTATTCGTTTTAGCGGTCCCCTCCGTCACAACTCAAAAGCTTTTAGTATACTATGAATGTAAAAACCAGTACATTGATAGAGACCCATACCTTGGAAGTGACATTGTAGTTCACAAAGTGTTGCATTAGTTTTTTGTCATGATGAGCAACAACATTCTCTACCATTCCTAGCACGTTGACAGGAGGGTTGGGAAAGTATTCGAACCAATGTTGGCACCAGTTGACTGAAAAATAAATTAGAAACATCTTATTCTAAATATACTTTTTATTAGAAATTCAAAGTCACATGCTATATCATCATAATAAGGAATGAATTCAGCTTACGGTCGCTTAGAGACACCGTTGCCCGCGCGTCCATAAACTATTTAAGTTATAACGCGAGGTACCGCAAAAATGTGACCTAATTCCTCCTTGGAAATGATCATTTGGTAACGTTCAGGATAAACATCCAATGTTGCGCAGAAAATCGCTGATTCGATGGTAAATAAAGATTGCATTAATTTGCCGTATGACTGTAAAAAACACGGCGCATCATACGGCCATCATGAGTATGGATGGTATCCGTTAAACCAATCAAAGCGCGCGAAATGTTCCTCATGTTACACGAAGCCAACCGATTTAACGCAACAATGTTGCGCGAAAAATCGTCTCGTGTAACACCACCTTAAAGGGGAAAAGGTAAGTGAATAGACAACATAGTCTTGAGGCGTACTCACCTAAGATGGAAGCAACCATCTCAAAGCAGATTAGCTGATTGTTTTGGAACAGCTTTACGAAGGGAAACACCAGCAATGGCAGATAATCAACCTCTCCGAATATAGCAGACCAGTGAGCTAATGAAGACAACGTCCTGGTATATAACATATAAGGTTGTGACGAGTTTCCATGGTAGCTGAAGGGTAAAGAGGGTCTTGCGGTACTAGAGCCCCCCTCCCCCCCCCCAAATCAGTTTATTATAGGCGAAAAGAAGTAATGGTTGAGAGAGGATTGCTACTCTGGGTGAAAAGGAGCCATCCAATGGAAGTCCAACTTATACAAATATATTCAACTTTTTGGCAAACAATTCTACGTACACTTTTGGACAGTGTCCAGGACCTCCCCTTTTTGATACAACACACTTCAATGTGAAGCTAGAAAGAGGTTCACAAGTTACCTCTGTAATACTCGGAGAAGCTTTCTGCTCTTGATAGGGTATTCTTCGTGAACTCGCACATAAGCACTGTGGACTCCTTTATCTACCAGGCTACTGTAGCAAGAGTGATTCTCTGGTAGCTTGAGAAGAGAACGCCAGATAAACATCCTGAAAATAAATAGGACTTTCATCAGAGAAACAGTAACGGGGGGTGGTGTGAAATTTGGGAGGTTTGAGTTAGCAGTAAAGAAGTTCTACATTAATTTACGCAATCCGATTAAAGTAAAAATAAGCTAGCAAAGATGAAGAAATAGAAATCGCGTGCAGCGTGCAGTTAAACAGCACGAGGGGGTCAGAGCAATGTCAGTGAAGTGCAAAGTGCTTCTCAACACTTCTCAAATACTCTGTCAACCCCTAAGTTTTTTATAACTGCATACAACAGAGCAAGCAAGCGTTGTATTTCTTTTTAGACAAATTAGAGTAGCCGTTATTTTGGATAGAAATGACAGGGCTGAAAGGGCGCACGTGTGCTGTGTGCTCTTATAAGGCACGCGCATCCAACCAATCATACGCGAGATTTATAACAGTTATGTTAAAATTGGAGTAGCCGTTATTTTGGATAGAAATGACGCGACTGAAAGTGCGCAAGCGTGCTGTGTGCTTTCAAAGCATGCGCTCCCAACCAATCATACGCGAGATTTGTAATGGTTGTAAATACACATTTAGGGTCGATATTTAGATCTTATTAACCGAGCGGGAGGTCTGTATGGGATAATCCCGACCGAGGTCAAGATTATCCCGTACAGACCAACCAAGCTCGGTTGATAAGAGTTTTATCATATGACCACTTTTCATTGAAAAGGAAGAAATGTTTTCGTCGTAAGATTAATATGCGATCAGACCCGTTAATACTGGAGAATCTAGACCAGTCCGCGATGCGATCTATCCAATCAGATTGCTCGATTTGCTAGTGTCCAGGCTCTAAGATTCACGGTCATATAATAAAAGTGTGTTAAAGCCATAAATAAAAATCGTATCAGTGAAGTGATGCGAAATTAATTCACGGCAGGGCTTAACGGGAGGGGAGGGGGGGGGGGGCAAAGAGTGTGTATTGGCAGAAAAATGGTCTAGGTTGCTTCCTTTGAAATTCAAGTAACTGGATCCTGTTGGTGTGACTTACCTGTATTTAGATGGATACTCTCCATATCCACGTAATATTGACATCAGGCGGGTACGACTTAAGCCCTCGGGAAGTTCACTCTGTAACAAACAAGTGAGAATGTGAAACAATGTTATTAATTTGAGAAGTGTGAATCAACAAAATGATGGTAGGTCATATTACATGACAGCTTCAGGTGATGTCACACATAAAAATGACCACAGAGTTAAAGATTATTGCAGATGATGGCAAGCAAAATACTGATATTCAAATGTTATGCAAATTGAATGTGGTACTTTCATATGGACCACCATGCCTTTCGTGATGGCTTATCAGCATCAAATTACAGTAGCAACTTGCATGATAAAAATAGTATCCATTTGCAGAAATTAAAGAATGGGAAATTGTTAAAGGAAATGTGCCCCTCAAAAACAAGGATATGAAACCAGTGATGAAAGCCAAACAAAAAAATAAGTGTGTTTCCTGTTGCATGAGAAAAATAATTGGGGTTGGTAAGTCGGATATTTTTTTTCTTTTTACTGATACAACAGTGGAAATGAGCTTACTGGGAACCCTGTGGTGCATTTGGGAATGAAAAAAAATTGGGGTCGGCCAAAATGGTCAAAAAAATTAGGGTTGGTCGCGCAACAGGAAACACAGTTATTTTTTTGTTTGGCCTGACATTAAAACACAACATTACAACAGTACCTCAAGCCCTGAATCAGGTACTGTCCAAGAGCTGGACATGTCTTGTTCCCCAACAGACGGTGATTCTTTCCTGCCATTAATATTCCTTGGAATTTTTCTGGTGACTACTTTGTCTTTGTTAATTTTCTTTGACCCAGATAGTGACAAAGATGACTTGGTTGATGATTTTGATCCTGGTCGGTCATCAATCACTGCTTTGACTACAGGAGCAGGAGGCTGAAGATCAAAGATAGAACAATAATATTAAATGAAAATATTTTGTTGCTGTGGCAGATTGAGAAGAGAGAAAGAATGGAATTAAGAAAAGAGGGAAGAAAGTTGGGGTAGGAGGTGAAGGATGGATGGAAGGATTGAAGGATGGATGGAAGGATTGATGGATGGATGGATGGATGGATGGATGGATGGATGGATGGATGGATGGATGGATGGGTGGAAGGAGGGAGGGAGAGAGGGAGGGAGGGAGAGAGGAAAGGATGGATGGAAGGATTGAAGGATGGATGGAAGGATTGATGGATGGATGGATGGATGGGTGGAAGGATGGATGGGTGGAAGGATGGATGAATGGAAGGATGGATGGAAGGAAGAATAGAAGGAAGGAAGGAAGGAAGGAAAGGAAGAAATGAGAAATATACAGATTTTCAAGCTAAGTTGATGAAGCATTAGCTTGAGCTGCTTAAAGCTATTGTATTTACAGGGACTACAGAGAGACTAATTTTCCCCTTTGCTCTGCAATCCTTTTTTTACTTAAAATGGACCTTAGTATAATACAAACTGTTACCTTGTTCAGTTGCGTTAATGCTGGTGTGCTGTATACATTGATGTTGCCATTATCCATCATAGTCACAATGTACCGTCCATTTGGACTGAACACCATGCTGTTAATCATCTACAAAATTAAGATAGTAAGCAACTAACAAGAAAGAAAGAAAGAATATTTTGAATATAATAATATTAAAATCAAAGAAAAAATAAGATAAGGTATATGCTGACACAAAGTTTACTCCTTTACCTGCTCATTACCACCAATGTCTAACAGCAGCTTACAAGTGTGGACATCAATAAACCGCAAAGCACCATCCTGAGCTAGAACACCTAAAGTCTATTCATAATAAAAGGAAGTCTAGTGCAAGGTTATATTAATTCTCAAGAAATGGTATTTCACTGTTTTATTTTCCTCTTTCATAAAGAAATCAGAATATTTACCTCATTTGGAGAGGGTGAAATTAGGATTGGTTTCAGCTGCGAGGTTGTTGTTAGGGTGAAATGTGACACTGAGTTGCAACTGATAAAGTTGTTTAATGTCTCTAAATGAGATGGGACTGCTTTTTTTCTACATACATGGACTGTATAGCAGCTGCCAGAGGCCCATTCACATGCTTTCAGTTCGACCCCGTTGAGCTGCGGCACTGCTGTACTTGCGGTGGTGAAAAGTGATGACAAGTTTTTATTTTTATTTTGTGTGATAATCTGAGCCATGGCAAAAGTTTAACCATTTGCAGATATTTTAGAGCAAAGGCAGTACCTTCTACTAAGATATTTTTTATTATTTATAAGACGTGAATGCTGGTCTGGTTGGGGCTTGAACCCATGAATTCCTGTACAACTGAAGGCCAGTGCCAAACCAGCTGAGGCAACAGGGAGGGTAATTGGGTAGAATTTGAGAAAATAAAGGAAGAAATGCTTGGAAACTGAACTTACCTGACTAGAGCCACCATCAAAACTGTCTGAAACAAACTCTACTTGCTTAACAATTCTTATCTTGGTAGGAAGCTGGATTACATGCAAAAGATTCTTTGTTTCCAGGTTCCACACATGTAGGAATCGTGACCTGTTCCAGTAAACAAGATTATGTTATGCTTTCAAGTTGATTTAAGGAGTGAGAATCATGCATGACACATTACAGTCTTTGCATGGCAAAATAATGTAATGACTGAAATGCTTGAACCACGATCTCCCACACAACAGACTGACACTCTTAGCAACTCAGCTAACCGGGCAGCGGTTAGGTATTTTCATGTATTGTATTGTCCATTTTCCCTTTTGCATACCAAAGTCTCTTATATTTTCTAATTTTAGACCTCACCCTAATTAGGGTGTTCCCCAGTCCGAAGTATGTCTTGTTATCACAGTGACTTGCAATGAAACAAGCAATTATTTTTTTAGCCAAGAAAATTCTAAAAACTCTTACCTCCCACCTGCCACAAGTATGCGGCCATCTCTTGGTGTAGCCAAGTCCCTATAGTGAGGGTTCTTCCCATCGTCTGGAGGAATCGGCAACTGGTACTTACACTGAAGACTCTCGGAATCCCAAGCAAAGATACTGTCATCTTTAAAGCATGTGATGATTGTGTTGCTCAGTGGTAGAAAGAAACCCTGGAGAAAAGATTTTAAATTAGTATTGTTAATAGGTAAGCTCATACAATGTAGAACTGCACAGAAATGGTGTCTTCATCATTCTCTTGATTCATGCAATTTTTGAATGTCATGCAAGTGTTATGCAAGTTATAGTACTGAAATGCAAGGACAATTATTCATATTTAGTTGTGTGAAAAATGATGTCATTTTTTCCTTTCCTTAAGAGTCTTGCACACGATTTCTAAAATGTGACTCCACTGCATTTACAAGAAGTGGATGGTAATGGTCTTACCCTTTGTATACCAACTGTCTGTGCACCATTCAATGTACGTTTCCTGGTAAATGTGTCCAGATCCCATAGTTGTATAACTGTATTTGACGAGGTTAATGCATACCGACCACTTGCATGGATAGATATACAATGTATGGCTGAATCATGGCCTTTCATCCAACTCACAAGTTCATGAGACTCTAGGATAATCAAAATATTTGATTATGAATCTAGGAATTTTATATTGCTTAAACATTACTTTTTCTAGCTTTATTGAGCAATGGGTAGTCCCTTTCACAGCTGCCACCTAGGACATGAAAAAGCACCTTAACTGATGTTCTAGAGAGGACGGTAACCCCAAGGACAACAGCACACATTAGATTCAAAATTTTTAATAAGGTCTCACATCATCATCCTGGCATCGCTGTCCTTCATATTGTTGATGCACTAGCCAATGAGAAGCCATTCTCGATTTTGCCCCCCCTTCCCTTGGGATGTTTATGACACAGGTCATTTTAATTACCTTTTTTTCTGAGAGGAATAAGAATGTACCAACAGTTTTTCCAAGATACAATGAACAACTCAATTGTATGCATCAACAATAATTATCTTACCGACATCGTAACATCTCAGTGAGTAATCTGCCAAAGCCACTAAAACTTCATTCTTACGCCTAAGGCAAAATGCCAGAGCAGTAGATGGCGTTCCAATCTTTTGAATGAGTGAAAACCTATTGATGTGATACAAAAGGTTGGTAAAACAAACTGATTTGGGAAGATGGTACATTGCCCTAGTGAGAAACATTACAAACAAAAAACAAAAAATAAACACATTACATTGCATTCATAGTGGCCATACTTTATTATTAGGGAAACCCTTGCCATTTTGCGAGGGAGGTTTTATATTGCTTAAAAATAGGCTCACAAGATGCAAGACATGTACCTGAAGTACATTTCATAAAAATTGAAACTGAAAATACAATGTACTGGATTCCTGGAAGCCTCTCTAAAGCTTGTATACACACCTACATACCTACAGTAGGTGCACATTTTGAAATATTCATTGATTTCATTGAATGAATTTATGTTTCGAACTTTGGGAAGCTATCTTACTATGACTTCACACCATAGCACGCATGAAAAGTTACTTACTTATTCTTGGTAAGATCAAACAAGTAAAGGTTCCCCTGATGGTCTGAAGCTACAAATGCTTCTCCAAGAGTATTAAAGGCAGCATGAAGAAATCTAATGCTTCTTCCTTGCAGAGAGAAAGCATTTGATGTTGTGTGACTGATAGTGACAATGAGTCTGGTAAAGAAAAAAACAATATACCTCTTGAGTTTGGGGGTAACGTTTTCTCATTTCAGTGTGTCATTCCCTTGAGTATAATTTCTTTGTTTTATGGTTGTGCATCAGAAGACTCACAAAGTGATGATTTCATCCATCACAAACTGTGGCAATGACACAAGATGAAATGATAGCTAAAACAATAAATTTGAAAGCTTAATTTGGTATAATAATTCAGACGCCATTTTGAAACTTTGACTGACCCATTTTCCGAGGAGGAAGCCTTCCTCTGCCATATCCTGCCTGATTCGTGTTTATTCACGTCTAGTATTTCCATGATCACGACATTTTTTGTATAAAATATTTCCCATAATCATTCAAACAACAACTAACAACAAGTGAAACAAACGATTTCGATTCTCCCGCCATTTTATCTTTGTAACCAAGCCTAGGTCAAAAACGCTTGTATCCAGTCCTCAAAGTCGTAGATTTATTTTTAAAATTCTCTTGATTTTTAGCTAGTTCTTACCAATTATTCGATAATATGCTATTTATTGCAAATCACGCGCATTTTAGGAAAGTAATCGAAGTCTGGTTAGTTTTGGTAATTTTTTTTTATTAAAGATGTTTTTGCGGTTGTGAGCACGACCACCCCCTACTGGGGGGCGTTTTTTGTATCACTTAGTCACCGGATGCTCTATGTAGTTTTCCAGTTTTCCTGTCAGTGTAGTAAAACAGGTCAAGGAGGAACCTGCGGTACTTCTCTTTTTCTTCGGGCTGAAAGAAAACTAATTCGAACTGGGCTTCACATCATGTCTCAGGTTCGTTTTAAGGTTTCTAAGCTGGATGAAGACGCGGCTAGTGAAGTAACTTCGGATGCAGAAACCAAGACGTCAGCAAACCAAGAAGTGGACGAAGACCCCTCATTCGTGAAAATAGAAATTGAAGATCCAGCAAGTGAGTATCTATGAGTCATCTAACTAATATAATCAATATTATCAATATCAAAAACTTATTCAACCTTCACAGAATACACTATCGTGTATTAAAAGTACTGAACCTGATCTAGCTTGAACGTTCGTGAGAATGATAAATTATGTTAAGCTCAAGTTATTATAGCAACCCTTCAAAGACTTCATAAAAACCTCATGTTATGACCCACGGGTGGCCTTAATATTTATTTTCAAATTACGGTATGATACTGTAGTATAAGAATTTAATTAAGTTATTCTTCACAATTGTTTTATTTATACTCTTCCCGCTTTTAGCGTCTGCCAAAAACACAAGTGTGCGTCAAAATCTCCTTGCGACCAAAGATGGCAACTTGGCTTTGTATGAGGTAAAATAGAGGTTAAATCTAATATTATTTGTGGCTTAAAGCTTTTTAATGAGCACGAAATTCTTTCAGATTGTTTCTGTCTTTCAATGAAATCAGTAAAATGTCAGCTGATTTTAAGTTTAAATATGAGCTTGAATTTTTATCAAACTAGCGTCAGATGTCCTTGTATTGTACGTCTATTAGTACTATATTACATGATTACGTTTTAAAAGTACTTTAACATATTAGCATAAGTAACCATGCAATTCTATAAATCACAGGATGAAATCCACCGAAGACCAAAAATTTCTTCACTTTTGTCATCCTTGGCGAAGTATGAGGCTTCTGTACCTGCACAAGAAGAAGATGCAGAACCAAAGAAAAAGGTTCTCGTTCCTATAGATTTTTAAATGTCAGTTAATTAGATTTGTAAGTTATTTATTACCGGGGAAAAACTTGATTTCAAGACCAAACAAAGTTGAAATTAATTTTTTTTAGAATTGAGAAAACAAATATATGGAAAGAAATTACAAATATTTGGAATGATAGAACATTTATAAATAATGAGATATAATTACAACAATGTTTTTTCTGGGCACACTAATTCCGAAGGAGATTTCATAAGTGTTATAAAATATTTGAGATACCATTTGTTCTTCTATGACAGATTAAAAGCACACATTTGTATTAGTATTGTATTATTTGTATTTGAGCATGGGCTCATTATTCTTAATGTTTCAAATTAGGAGGAAGATTGTGGGAAAAATAAAACCTCGAAATTGATTTTAATTAGGGCATAATACATTCGTGTTTATTAACAATGAACAAAGATTTAGTGGCTAGAGTCATTGACTTTTGCTCCTAAAAGTAGAGGGCTAAAAATGTTTTTAGTCGGCCAGACATGATGATCGACATGAAGTGACCAGTTGATGTGACCGGTCAAGTACTTTTCATTACGCCCTGAATGATGGAGTCATTTCTGAAATTTCAAAGGGGTTTTTATTTAAAAAATTTCTGTCTAGATGATTGGAGTCAGGTTAACCTCTTCGTTTATCCTAATTTTGCCATACTAATGCATTTAAAAATTTTTTTAGGAGGCCAAGATGGGTACCCTTATGGGGGTATACTTGCCTACCGTTCAGAATATCTTGGGTGTCATCCTGTTCATTCGTTTGTCTTGGTTGGTGGGAGTAGCTGGTGTTGTTCAAGGATTTTTCATTGTGCTAACTTCATGCTGTTGTGTAAGTTTGCATTTATTCCTTACTATACATGTACTTGGGTTGCATAATAGATAGTAGCCAGTTACTTCACCTTTAACCGCTGGCTATTTCAAATGTAAATCAGTATTAATTTAAATTATTGAATTCTCTGTTGCATTCATCAAGCTAGCCACCAAGCTGGTTGACCCCAAGGTGACTGCCTACTTTTGAATCTTTGATTTGAGCCCAAGATGTTCACATGCTCAAAACCTGCTGAAAAATCCTAACAAAACCCTAAAATTTTGCACCAGACTCTATATTTTTTTTATAGCTTATTAAAAAAGACTCCTATGAGAGTTTTCAAGAGCACTGAAATGACAAAATATGACAAATCAATGTATTTCTTTTTGTATTTTGTCAAAAATATCAACATATTGTAGAATGATATACTAGTCGTCATTCATGCAATCATACAGTCTGCAAAGAACTGTTGTCTTATGAATCTTATTTTTTCCCTGATCACTTCAGGTGGGGCAATTTTTGCTTCAAACATTTTGCATGTGGACATCCATTAAATGCGGAGTATCTTCATTATCCATTTTTCTTTTTGTATTTGGAATCAGCATTAAATTTCACTTAAGAATAGTTTAAAAAAAAGTTTAAAATTCTTTCCAAAAGATTTAGTCTTGGATTCTTTTGTTATAATTGTGGAGGAGACATATTTTGTCCTTTCAATTTTATGGAGAGGGATTCAGGTGACCTATCCAGTTGAGCAGTGAAATTTATTTTGAAATTTATTGTGTTCCCTCATGCTTTGCGTGCCATGTTCATGCTCAGCTGGATAGATACCATAAAGAGGGTGGAGATCCAAGACAAAGCCTTTAGGGGTAAAAAATTTGATCCCTCAGCCTAACTTTGCAGTGCACTACCCTGGTTTAGAAAATGGGAGACTATAATAGGTGGTCTCACCTGTCTAGTTCTACTTAACAGTTGGTTAGAAGCGTAATAAATAAAAGATAAATAAATAAAAATAAAGTAGCAAATTGTTGGGAGTACCTAGAAAAATGCTAGGAGTAATATGGTCATCTAGTAACCTATCCATGGGGAATAGTAATACTGCTACTACTGCTATTAATAGTTGCTTTATGCTCAAGAAACCTGAGATAAGCACCAGAGGTTACCTAAGATGAGGGAAGAAAATTAAGATGTGTGACATGACAAAAATATTCCTTCTTTATAGACTATGTTAACAGCTATCTCAATGAGTGCTGTAGCTACTAATGGAGTCGTTCCAGGTAATCTTGTGATAAGCTTATCTTGTTTTATACTTAATTCAATAAATTTAGTCACCTGAAAAGCTCCAAAGCTGAGACTGCCAAGGATTATGGATAGATAACTGCTTGATGCACCAGGGGTGCTTACCATTTTTTCAAACAAATTTCCAACCAGAGGAATTGGTTTAAATGGTTAGCACCTCAGTTACAGGTTTACCATGTGTTAGCATCTTCAAGCTTCATTTTGTACCAAAAAGCTTTACTTGTTTGTCATTAAGTGCTTCCCCACAATCCTCGGTGATCCCAGCTTTATTTTTTTTAATGACCAACTATATTGAAATAAGTATATATTATTTAATTCCTGTAATTAAATGACAATTATTTTGCTAATAGCTGTGATGCTATTGATGTTATTATGTTTAGAGTTGATGCTGACGTTAGTGATCTAGTTGTCATGATAGTGATGACAATTGAGCATGGAATATCATTCATGATGTTAGTACTAGCATGTGATGCATGGGTGGTGTGTACCCCTAATGTGCCGCCTCTTATTAATGTGACCTGGGGTCAAATTCCATATGTGTTGTTAGTACCAACATGTGAAGCATAGGTGGTGTGTACCCCTAATGTACCACGTCTTATTAATGTGACCTGGGGTCAAATTCCATATGTGTTGTTAGTACCAACATGTGAAGCATGGGTGGTGTGTGCCCCTTAATGTGCCGCCTCTTATTAATGTGACCTGGTGACATGGGGTCAATTCCATATGTGTTGTTAGTGCCAATGTGAAGCATGGGTGGTGTGTGCCCCTAATGTGCCGCCTCTTATTAATGTGACCTGGTGACCTGGGGTCAATTCCATATGTGTTGTTAGTGCCAACATGTGAAGCATGGGTGGTGTGTGCCCCTCGTCAATATGAGCGCGGGTTCGTACCCAGGGTTTGGTGTAGTTGGTGTTTTTCGGTTCTCTCCTGTACATCAAGGTGTTTTCTCTGGGTTCTCTGGTTTTCCTTCCTTCCTTAATATTGACTTTTAAATTTTAATTCATTTTTTGGGATTTCACTAAGTATGGTACAGCCAAAGTCGTTAGATACACTTGAATATCTTTTTGTTACTACTTTGTTATCTAGGTGGAGGTTCATACTTTATGATTTCAAGAGCCCTTGGTCCAGAATTTGGTGGTGCAGTTGGACTGCTGTTCTATTTAGGAACGACATTTGCATCATCTATGTATATTCTTGGTGCAATTGAAATATTGCTGGTAAGACATAATAACGAAATACTTTGTATCATATCGTTATTAAGTATCAGTCTGTTAACGGTGCACCCTATCTAGTACTGTAATTATTTATAAAGTTGTTATCATATTGAATAGTTGACTAAAAGTAGTAATCTGCCTGTTTTCTTAACTGACAACTGTTGGTATGTTTGTGGGAATTCACATTGTACTTTGGAAATGATGCTGGCTACCTCTGTAAACCCTTTTAAAAATCCCACAATACCTTATTTTCCTCTTTAGACATTGTTTTGACAAGTTTATTCTTTTGAAATTTGTTTCCTTCAATAAAAATGAAAAGAGTAAATTTGATGTCAAGCATGGAAAAGAAAGCATTGTGGGATTTATTAAAATGGTCTTAGATATTGAAATGAGGTAAAAGAGTCATTAATTACCGACGGTAAACAAACCCTAACTAGACATCTAACATTTGAAATTTATAATGAGATATTTGTTGATTTTATCATTGTCATACCAACCCAATGACATCTAACCTTAGTTAGCAGTTGTGAATGTAAAGACACTTACAAATGGATAAAACACAAAAAAAAGAATGTTATCTTTATATACCATCAGGGGAGTCACACATGATCTAAAATGAGAAAACCTTATGCCGATGCTAAATTGGTCTATTCCTTTTTCTCCTGCCAGACCTACATTGCCCCAGTTATGTCTCTGTTTGGTGATGCTAACTCTGGAGGTGGTGCAAGCTCTTCTCTCATGTTGAATAACATGCGTGTGTATGGTACCATCTTGCTAGTCCTGATGGGGCTTGTGGTGTTCATTGGTGTTAAATATGTCAACAAGTGTGCCTCGATGTTCCTAGCATGTGTCATACTATCAATATTGGCTATATATGTTGGGTTTTTCTCTGCACATGCAAGGGACCTACCAAAGTAAGTACTAAAAATAATATATAGTCTTGTCTTTGTCAAACTAGATATATGATTTTGTTTCGAGCAGCTGCAGAGATTAATCAATACGATCAGTATAATTTTTTTCTAAGCAGATTCGAGTTTCCTTTGTGTGTGAGAGCTTCTCAGTGAAACAATTTGAATGTCTAAGCATGGGATTCTCAAAACCATCAATTTCATAGCTTCCTAAAGCCTGGTTCACACTAGCGTCGGAATAGGAATTAAAAGGAATGTATACAGACTCCGTACCACATTTATCATCTTGGTGTGAAAAAAGACAAGCACTGTTAATAAGCAGTACACTAGTTAGTGAGTCTGCATATGTTACTTCAGATTCCGATTCCAACCCTAGTGAAAATGATGCTTAAAAAATATGACTCATACCCTCTCACAAACTCTAAATTTTGTTGAAAAAACCCTTTTATTATATAGTTAGAATAGTATGTGCCGCTGATTGGTGGAAAACCATGCTTTGTTTGTGAACGGAGCACAGTGCTGATGCCATCCACATGTGTAAAGTGCTGCTAGATCCTGCGACCGGTCTTTCTGTTTGTATAGATATTTAAATAAGAAGTGTGAAAAGCACTTTGCCTACAGCTCCTGCTTCTCCTTGCACTTTTTCCTTGCTTATGTCACTTCCTGTGTGCTCTATTACTGAACATAGCACAGAAAAAGCTGTTTTATTTGTAATTACATCTCGGGTATACACATGAAGTGAATTTTAACTAGCATTATAACAAACTGCAATAATTAAATTTGATATTATAAGCATTCTCCAAATTTTTTATTTTACTTGGCAGGATTTGTATTCTTGGTAAGACAGTGCTATCCACAACTAGCTATGATACATGTTCGCGTAATGACTCTAAGTTGATAGCAGCGTATGGTTCAAACAGTGAATTCTGGAACTCCACCTCTTTGAAATACATTGATGGTGTTCCTGGTATTACTGGTGGTGTGTTTGCAGGTAGGCAAACAGTAATTCAAAAGTTGATGTAGTTTTTTATTTTCTTTGTAGTCGAGTCTAGCTTCAGTGGCATATATTCTTATGTATAATAATGTCATCTCCATATTAATTAATCATCATCATCATCATCATCATCATTAAACACTGCCACCATTATCAGCCACTTCCACCACCATTATCATTATCATTTGTACATACTAACTGATCAACTAGAGCACTAACACTAAAAGTGTGCAACCTAAATAAAACAAAATAGTGATATATTATGTTAATTCTATTATTGAATTATTGCCATTTAGTGCTCAAAGGTACACTGTATTTCACGCTTTTAGTGCTTGTACGTTGTCAGTAATCACTGGTCAAGTATTACTGCATTCTTGGCTTATTGATGACACAACTTATTAAATAATTTTACCAGGAAATGCAAGAAGCTTTTATGTGAAGAAGAATGAAGTTTATCCTGGAGTTAAAGCTGGGTCATATCAGGGAGAAGTCAGATCAGATATCAGTACATCTTTCTTTATATTACTGGCTATCTTCTTCCCATCTGTTACTGGTAGGTTTATGGTTTGTCTACATATAACACTGGACCCTTTTTCATCCACTCCTTACTGCTATTTTTGTAAACATGCCAGCTACATGCTGAAATTAGATTTTTCCCTTCCGGCATACGAAACCAATCAGTCAGTACCTTTTATATTATTTTGACTGGTGGCAGTGTAAAACCAAATTTCAGTGTGCAGTTCGCAGTAGTTACAGAGTTAACATGTTTATGAAAATAGCAGTGATGTGTCGAGTCATAAATGGGTGTAAGCAAAAATCATTGTCACTTATTCATCAATCCACCCTTACATTGTCTGTCTGTCTGTCTGTCT